TCCCTCCACTCTGCATTCTAAATGATTGACAGACCACCGACTAACAGTTTCGTTACAATCTCGTCTCGTCAATGAAAACTCACACACGTTCCGTCACATCTTAGTCACCAAAGAGCTATGTTTATTTATGTTTATTTCGTTACCATCTCGTTATCGTCATGAAAAAAGGGGGCGTCAATGAAAATATTTCGTCATCATTATCGTTAACGAAACCCCCACGCCCCGTAAAGGTTCTGTGCTGCTGGGTTTATTTCTGAACCCGTGAGCAGGACCTGGCCGGCTTCTCCTATGATTTATGAATGACCCGAGGGAGAATAAAGCCGGACCGGTCTGTGCGGCGGCTTCACTGAACTGTCTTGTGAATCAGGCTTTGGTTTCTTTTAATTTGCTCAGGCAGCTTGTTGTCAGACGCTAACGTTATCACTGAACGTTAACCAGATATCAGCAAACAGTAARCCAGGAGTGACACAAGATATAGAAACACGCCTCAGCTTCATCACACTTAAAATACCATGGGGAAAAATAAATCTCATTCCAAATTAATCGATTTTCCTAAAATGAAATGAAATCGATCCAAGATSGATTAAATCAATTATTTTTACCCAGCCCTAATAGAGAGTAACGTTAGTTTGAGAGTAAAAGAAGCCATTTTTGTTAAGAAAAACAGTCCATCATTAAATGGGTGGACGTCTCTGTCCAGTTGTCTGTGTCCCCTCTTACATTGCTGTTTATTGAGAGTAAGACTCAGTCCTCTGGTTACAATAGGGATATTCAGGGCACTAATGATCTGTTGTTAGGCTGAGGGTCCTCTTTTTCATGTGAACAGTTTTGATTGTCAACATTAAACCTGAGCCCACCACGTGGAGTCAGTGCTGCTGATAAAGCTGAGTTTACCTGAAACTCAGACTGAAGGAGTCTCTTGGAACTAAGACCTACTAGACTTCTTCATTAAATAAAATAGTGTAAATGGTAAAAGCAAGTAAATCTTGTTCCTTCAGGTGGTGGATGAGCTGGATGAGAAGATGACAGAAGGTGGGATGATCGTCGACTATCATGGTTGTGACTTGTTTCCAGAACGTTGGTTCCACATCGTCTTTGTCCTGCGGACAGACAACACACAGCTCTATACTCGGCTGGAAAACAGGTGAATAATACTTAATTTGTTATAGTTTAAATACTGATGCTTAAAGATGCAGTGGTGTTTTGAGAAGAGAGGGCTACACTGTTTTCTCACAGGCAGATTTGCTGAATATAGTGTGATTTGGTTTGAAGTTTGAGCTCTGCGTTTTTAACAGGACATTTTTATCCTTAACAGATTATTTATTGTGATGCATAAAAGGTGAGGTTATAATATATTATAATATATTATTATAACCTCACCTCTGCTTAGAATACGGTTTTGCCAGCTGTGCGTATGAAAATACTGTTACTTTCTAAACATGGCCACTCAGTATAGGGATGCACAGCTCACAGGTTGCAAAACAGGTCAAAATTTAGTGAGCCTGAGGATTTTCTATTTTCTAACAAGTTTACGTCATTTTGTCTTCCAAGTGAGACACTGCCTTTACGGTTTGACTTTCAATGTCTTTCCTTGATAACTACAGCCCCTGGGGAAAAAACACTAAATCACCACTCTTGAAGGATGTCCTTTTAATTGTTTAATTTTGTATTTAAATAAATACATCACAGGCATGCCACAAAACTAGTTCTTCAAAATCTCATCCTCCTAGCATTAGAAAACAACAGAAAATATAATTGATCTAGTCTGTCACAATTGCCTCTTTAGATCAAATAGATGGGGAAAAAATGGAATCACTGTAATTTGCATGTCTAAAACTACAGAAGCTGAGAGCGGCCATTTTCTGCTAACAATTATTTTCCATGGTTTTCTCATGAAAACGACTTATGGTTTTCCTTGTGTATCATTCAGTAACCATGCAGACAGCCTGATCCCCTCAGCTGGTGACTGATAAAGTTTATTATATCAAGTTCAAGATGACTGTGTAAACATCTGCTGATCTGCAGTCAGGCCAGCTGTCTCCTTAAATGACGAGGGCTGATATGAAAGTTATCTATAGACAAACGTCACAATTTCAGCCTGATGATACAAAATAACACAACTATGAACAATTTAATAGGTTGACTTCAGACCCAGACTGCCCTTACAAAAGAGATCTGAGATCTCAGTGGGATTTGCCTGGTTAAATGATAAATAGCTGGCTTCATCGGTGAACAGYCGAGGGGACCAGGGTGTCTCCATGCTTACTGTGTGATACACAAGAGGAAAACCATCTGGAAATGAACTTACCTCGAGAAAACGATCATTGTTATCTCATGATAACATAATTAACTCGTTATCAYGACTTAAAAGAAATATATCATTATCTCTAGAAAACCATAGGAAAAAATGACTTGTGGAAAACGGCCGCTCTCAGCTTCCATTGAAAGCAAATAGCTACATTGTATGAACTCTGCTAACACACTGGAGAGTTGTACAAAGCAGATTGACTGAACCTTGGCTCAAATATGACAGATGCTGGTTGAAATGAGAGATTATTATAAATGTTTTCAATAAGGTAGATCATTGTGAAATGTTACTAATAATGTTGGTGTTCCTACTCAGCCGTGACTAAAATCTGGACTAAGAACAAACAAAATAGAGTTTGTAAAAGGGAACCATACTGGAAGACAGAAACTTAAAACAACGTCATGAAAAAAGACAATGTACAAAAACCCAATTGAGAAACAAGTGGGCTGAAACTGGAGTCAATGTCTGGTGAACAAACTGTAGGAAATGGCCTAAAAGAAATGAATTTAATTAATGAAAAAGACAGCCTGAAGAAAATGTACATTTCCACACTCTTGGGCCTACATGTCAGCTAAAGGCACTGKTGAGATAACGGCTGTCATTATGTCTTCAGTACATGCCGAAATTGATTGTAGTTTTGCACACTTAAATAGGATGCTTGATGATGAGGACTTATTTTCCAATACGATAATGTATCTTCCTGTAAGGGCAAAGGATGTGACATCATTTCTTTAAAAAAGACATCAATATGAACTGTCAACAACATGGCCAACAAATGGTCCAGATCTCCATTCAGTTTAAAATCTCTGTCAGAAATTGAAGAAAAAGGCAAAGTTGATGTGGCAGCAGCAATAAGAGAGTCAGAGGAGTGATTACTGTTTGTCATTAGTTAAGCCTCAGAATTCAAGTTGTTTGTAAAAGCCTGACATTGTGCACCAGAGTATTCATGATGGTTCCACAGTGCTTTCTTCAGATTTGTTTCCTAAATTTCTTCTGTAATGATTTTCTTCTACTTGATTTTTTAAAGCAGTTGTTACTGTCTACAAATGTTTTTGCATGTAATATTGATTTATAAAGCCAGATGGTTGTAATTGATAGTTTTTAACTTATCGTTTTGTTTTTGGTAACAAATTTAACCAATTGAAGGAATGTGTGCTGTAGCAAGTCCATAATTTTCACCAGGAGTTGTTGTCTGCAGTTTGCCTCTCCAAGGTAAGGTAAAGTTAGGAGTTCTTTACTAACTCTTGTGTTTTGTGGGGATTTCAGAGGTTACACAGGGAAGAAGCTGCAGGACAACGTGCAGTGTGAAATCTTCCAGATCATCTATGAAGAGGCCATGGAAGCATACCAACATGAGATAGTCCACCAGTTACAGAACAACACCCCTGAGGACCTAGAACAGAATCTGGAGCAAATCATTCAGTGGACTAAACAGTGGATGAGTGACCATAACTAGATGGCAGACTGTGGAGACAAGACACATTTTTTATACAAAAAGATTGATGATTTTCATCAATAAAGTTTGTTGTGACCAAATTAAAAGTGTGTCAATGTATAGTGAGACAATGTCCAATACCAGTCAAACACTCACAGTCCTTTTTATCAGCCAATCACATGTCAGCTACTCACGTGCTGAAGACAACTTCCTGAAGTTCAAACTGTTTTTGGATTTAACTGACTTTGAATGWAACATGGTTGTTGATGCCAGAGTGATAGTTGGGGTATTTCAAAAACTGCTAATCTATAGGGATTTTTACACATTCCATCTCTAGTGTTTAAATGGTATGGTCCATGAAAGAGAAAATATTTGGTGAATGGCATTTGTGTGGACAAATGAAGTCGTGTTAAGGTTAGAGGTCAGAAGAGAACAGGCAAACTGGTTTGAGATCAAAGAAAGGCAGCAGTAGCTGTAATGACCTCTTCAAAGGACCATCTCTGAAATCACATTTCCTACCTGGACATCAGCAGCAGAAGACGGCACTGTTTCTACACCTGTCTGTTTAAAAACAGCAAAACTGAAAGTACAGATCACACAGACTGACCAGAACTTATAAAAACACTGACTGAGTCTCACTAAACCGTTATCCTCCACAGTCTCAAGACCTCAAACCCTTATTTAGACTGTGGTAGAACTGGAGATTCATGTTGTGGATGTGCAGGTGACAGACCAGTTGAAAGTGGTAAGAATTCACATTTTGTACTGTAGGATCATAAGAAGGTTCTAAGTCAGGGCTATTCAACTGGCGGCCCAYGGGCCAACTGGTTCATTCATCTCTAAAGCCGAGACCCCCCAGTTTTCTACTCTAATTACTCTAAGTTCTTTTAGTTAAACATGGACATGTTTGGTGTCTGCAGAAACAGAATCTTGGCTACAAGCTGGTAAAAACCGTTTCTATGAACATCCAAGACAGTTAAAACTACAAGCAGTTGAAGATAAAATTATGAAAATAAAATTGATTTGAAAATATGGCAAGTCAGAGATGTCATAATATTTGTGTTRGGAAGCATGATGCTTTGTTTTCATTGTTTTATTATCACTACTTTTATTACATAAGGTTATGTTGTTTTCATGATTAAATGCAGCAAAATAAACTATTTCAAAGGTAACAGATCTTTGTAATACTTGGCTTATTTACATAATAATTGCTTGATGTTTGGCCCCTGAGCTGTTGACCTGCAGTAACTGTGGCCCCCGGAGCAATTTAGATGAATTGCCCTGCTCTAAGTAGAACTTAAAAATACAAAAAAAAAAAAAAAAAAGGAATGTGAGTGAGACAAAAACCTCTGAGTCAGCATTTTATTACAAACAAGAATTAAAGTGAAAAAGGCTGTTCCTCAGCTGATCAAAAACTTTAAGACCAAGGCATTTAAAAGCCACAAACTTCAGGATTYAGAGTTGTTTTCTGTCAGGTATCCACAGTGTCCTGACCTGAAGAAAAAGACAAAAAATGTTTGTCTCTATGAACTTGGTTGGATCATTGAGCTGCATAAACAAACCCTCTCTGTGTGCCATTGCTGCTGAGGTTGGACACAGTAAGACAGTCATTTTAATCTTTTTTCATAGATCCTGAGWKTTATGGAACAAAAAGTCAAGTAATAGAACCAAAACAATTACACCGGGCCTGAGCCGGAGGATCCAGTTGTCTGTGAAGACCCGGGCCAAGCCTCGGCCCAAATGAAGCTCATCGCTGGTGCCAACTGCAGTCATAACCATCATCAGCAGCATCTGTGAGAGAGGAGCTTAAGGACAAAAACATGTTTAAAGACCGTCTCCTTCAAGGCACAAATTTGCTACCATTTTATTTGTATTTCTGTGTGAAACTTTGTGAATGGTTATTTCAAATGTAAATAGAAAAAAAAGAACAGAAAAATAGTCTGAAAGCTGACTCAACACTTTTCTAATTTATTTTTGTGTCAGTCCAGTTGACCTAACAGAGTCTTAGTACACAAACCATATGCTTGTGTGTGTGTTAAGGACTGTTGTACAGTTTTCAAAATGAAAAACATGTTGACTGGTTTTTCTTTTTTTATGCCCTGACATGCTGTTATTCTCCCACGGGACAATAATTTGGCTCTTTCAAAAGACTGCACGCATCAGTCTTTAAATCAGTGAAGTTCTCAGAAATGAAGCACGTCCAGCAGAACCAGGAGAGAAGCAGAACTGTAGTGTGAAAATATTAAAATCTGTGAATGAACCCTAAACAACATGTTATTCTAACAGAAGAGACATGATGGTTTGAATTTATTATTTGTAAGATTTACTCAACTGACATTTTATTTTTTAAGGGCCTGCCTGTCACACTTATGTTTTAGACAACTTGTGATTATTTTGTCTAAATTACAAAAATAAAACAGTTATATGTTTGATAAATTTATTAGAATTACATTATGTACACGCCTAAAAGAGGTTTCCAGTAGATTTTTTTAAAATTCCATCTTCAATATAGATGTCTTTAAAATGCTCATAAGCTGCCTAAAACGTTAACTTMTACTGTGACAGGATGTTAGGTCTTGTTGGGACTGGAATGTAAAGGTAGCAGTGGAAAAAAGAATTTACAAGATAATATTGACAAATGTAGACATACACTGAATAATTGGCTTCAAAGAGACTTGGCAATATTTGGCAGAGTATTGTCAACAAAAACTGAATCTATATCAGGGTTGATATATCCAGCACACTCTGCTGTCCCTSCAAAGCTGATTAAGGAAATTAACAATAAATTTTAACTTCGTTTGGAAAAATAAACACCATTACATTAGTAAGTAARCTTTATTTCTGTAGCACGTTTCACAGACACAAATATCACAAAGTGCTTCACAGAGAGCAAAATAAGTAAAAACAATTAAACAGATCACAGATATAAAAACACAATAAAAAGCACATTAACTGAAAGCCTGTCTGAATAAAAATGTCTTAAGATGATTCTTAAAAGAGTCAGTAGAATCTGAACAGCGAAGGGACAGAGGGAGAGCGTTCCAGAGCCTCGGGGCCACCACCTGAAAAGCT